GGACTAACGAGCGCAGCAGCGGGGCACCGAGCTCTGCAGGTGCCTAACAAAACGAGGACGCGGGGCAGGAAGAGAGCAGATTTTCATTCAGGGAATCGCTTTGTGAGCGTTCTTACCTCAGAGGGCGTCGCGGACTGCCGGGCTTGCCAAACCGAGGTCGGTTCTTACGGAAGTTCCAGGAGTTTCTGGAGCGCGGAAGGCGTCTCGCGTCTGTCTTCGTTAGCCATCAGTTAAATAACCCGCTAACAGGCTTCCAGTTTGGAATTCAGTGACCGGTGGGAAGGTTTTTGTTAAACAAAAATGGAGTTTCCTCAAAAAAAAAAAAAAGGAGACTGAGTTGCGTGGTGTCCGAGTCGGAGCCGTAATAAAACGGCACCGTGGGTTTTCCTTGCCTCGCAGCGCCACGCTTCTTCCAGCGATGACTTCTCCGATTACAGCGAGGACTCGGACTTCAGTCCCGGGGAAAAGGGGCACAGAAAATACCGGGAATACAGCCCTCCCTACTCCTCCGTAAGTACCCGCCGGCGGGCGGGCAGGTTCAGAGCCGCTGCGAGATAGAAGCGCGGGCGCCCGTTTAGCTCCATCCGTGTCCCACACGCTTCGGCTCCGGTCCTTTAGCCTGTTTATTTGTCACCTGGGTGGTATTTATGGTGGGGTTTTTTAGTGATTTTTTAAAATTAAGTCACGATATTAGGGTGGATACGTTCCCTTCCTTCGTCACTGACCTCTCTGCCTCTCCCAAAGTCCCACCAGCAGTATCCGTCCTCTCACAACGCCCCCATGCAAAAGAAGAGCTACTCTAAAATGGAGAGCAAGAGCTACGGCATGTACGAGGACTACGAGAACGAGGAGTACGGCCATTACGAGGGGGAGGAGGATGAAGTTATGGGGAAGGAAGATTACGACGACTTTGCAAAAGAGCTGAATCAGTACCGGAGAGCGAAGGAAGGCTCTCACCGGGGCCGAGGTACGTCTAAACCTGCCTTTTTTTTCCCCGCTGCCTGCGGCTCGTTGAGCTGATCTGCGGCCGGTCGAGGCCCGGCGCGCGCAGGAAGCTTCGCGAAGGTGAGCTGCCCTGGCTGCGTGGAGCCGGCCGCGCTTCGCTCTGCGGCGCTCCGTTGTGACAGGGGAAAGCCTTTTTTCCTGTTTTCCCCTCCAAGGGGAAACTTTGGATCCTTGTGGATGACTTAATGCTTTAAATAAGCATTTCTCGCTAGCATAGATCGTTTTAAAAGCTTGAAAACGGATAAAATAAAGGAAAACATTTCTTTGAAAGGAAAATGGAGTCGATTGACAGCACAACAAGTCTGCCATCGTCACATCTGGAGCACCCAGATGTACGTCGCCAGCCCGACGTGGCGGTGCAGCCGCTGCCGTGGTCGCGCAGCATTGGGGGTTTTAAAAAAAATTTATCATTCAACTTCTTAAAAATCTGTTCTTTTAGAATATTAGAAACTGACTCACTTAGGAACAAGTTTTGAAGATGCTGGCGATCCCATAATGAAGAAGTTATCACCGTTTTTTCACCTTGTTGTGCTTTCTTAACGCACGTGAGGGGTGAAGCGCGGGACAGAGCTGACGCCGTCGCTTTGCTTCGCCAGGTGGCCGTGGCCGAGGCAGAGGCTACCGGGGGCGAGGTGGCAGGGATGAGAGGAGGCCGAGGCATGGGCCGAGGGAACCGTGGGCGAGGCAGGCCTGACCACCCCGAGGAAGATGAGGAAATGTATGAGGAAGAGATGGAAGTAAGTGCCGAGTCCCTGACCCGCTCCCGAGTCCCTGACCCGCTCCCGGGGAGCCACGGAGGCAAAAAAATACTCTTTTTTGTGATCGGGATGCCTGTGTTTGAGGGAGAACAGGCTGCGCTTCGGCCCCGCTGGCTAAAGGCGCCGCTCTCTCTCGTTAGCAGTACTGCGATAACGACGAGCCCATGGTCGACGACGAGTACGACGACTACTCGAAAGAGCTGAATCAGTACCGCAGGAGCAAGGAGAATCGTGGACGGGGTGAGTGGGATGACGAGCCGTGCCGGGACGGGCCCCGCTTTCTGCCCCCTCACACCTTTTACGGAAGGAGAGGAATTAGAAACGAGGACGCGTGTTTTAGGTTTAAATCGGGGACGTGGCCGTGGCCCCAGAGGAAGAGGAAACAAAGGAATGGGTCGAGGACGGGGCAGAGGTGGAAACAGAAGCGGAATGGGGAAAGGTGGTGGAATGAACGAAGACGACGATTACTACGACGACGACATGGGAGTGAGTAGCTCTCTGCTTTCTGACGCCTTGCTGCGGTGCCGGGTGCGCCCCTCGCCCCGTCCCCCGCCGTAAATCCAGTCAGGCTTCAAAGAAAGCTTTTGCAGGAGCCAGAAAAATGTCAGATTCTTCCCCAGGATCCGCAAAAGTTGTCCCAGTGGGCAAGGAGAGGGATGGTTTGGGTTCTGGTCCTCTGGCGGGTTCCTCGAGCCGTGCTCAGGAGCCTGCTGGGGCTCAGCGCGCTCGTCCTTGCCTCCCTTTTCCACCCCGAATCTCGGCGTCGTTCCCTCTTTGCCTCCCTTTTCCATCCCCAATCTCGGCGTCGTTCCCTCCGCGCAGGAAGTTTGAATTTCTCCCGTGTGAGCTGCTGTGCTTTGTATTTCAAATTCTCTGCCAACCGACGTACTGTGCTTCCGACAGGACGGAGGAGGTGGCGGAAACTACCGGCGGAACGACCACGACAAACCCCACCAGCAGTCGGATAAGAAAGGGAAAGTGATCTGCAAATACTTTGTGGAAGGCAGATGTACCTGGGTAAGGGAGAAAAATCAAGAACATTTCTGTAGGTGCCTTTAGACGCGCGCAGGAGCGTCGCTGGAGGGTCAGGCCCGGGTTTTAACCCATTTCAGGGGGGGATTCGTGCCCACGAAGAGCGTTTTGTGGAAGCACTCGTCTCCCTGTCCGTCCTGATAAATCCGTTCGCGCTTCCCCCCGCTAACGCGCTGCCGTGTGGTTTCTCGACAGGGCGACCACTGCAACTTCAGTCACGACATCGAACTGCCGAAGAAACGGGAACTGTGCAAGTTCTACATCACCGGCTACTGCGCCCGGGCGGAGAACTGCCCCTACATGCACGATATTCCCTCTTGAAAAAACGCGGTTTGCGGGGGTTTTGTGTACGGGAGAACCTGCCCAAAAGGGAAGCGGGGGTGTTTCTGGCGACGGTAGTTGAAGACCGGTGTCGTCGTGGGGAAAATTCTCCGTGCTGAGAGCTGTGTTTCGAGGTGGAAAAGCGCTGATGGCCTCTGTGGCTGCAGGAGCAGCTCCCTGTTGGGCTTCATTCTCCTTAACAAACGCTACGGGACTTCC